TATTATATTATATTATATTATATTATATTATATTATATTATATTATATTATATTATATTATATTATATTATATATTATATTATATTATATTATATTATATTATACCAGTTGGACTATGCACGCTAACGTGTGCACAATGCCATGCCCACTACCGCTTACCTGCGACTTGTTAGAGGACCAATATAAACAGTACCGGTTGACTTCCCCTTTCAAAACCGTTTCCCCATCAGGTAATCTTTTCCAATTAGAACGATCTGATGCCGTTTCCTGGGTATTGATCCCTTGACACTAGTAGGTGATCGTGGAGTTGTTTCCATTCTAACTTCCTCTAGTTCGTAGGGGGTATGATTGTCCTGCGTCGTGGGAGGCGAGTTGTGATTTTCAGTCTGTGACGTCATAAATAGTCTGGGTATTAATCAACGGACCAATATTACGAGCATCGGTTGACTTTCCATATCACAACTGTTCTCTCACCGCGCTCATGTGACCTTCACGCTCTTAATCGTGCCTACGTGACTTTTGAGAGGACACACAATCGGACATACAGGCAGACACGCAAAGTTAGCCCTTTATATATAGAGAGGATTGTATTATATTATATTATTATATACCGTATCACATTATGTCATATTTTTATTATAATATTTTATATTACCAGTCGGATCGCCTGACCAATACCGGGCTCTTTGGGGTTGGAATGTCTTACTGAGGTCTATCCTTACTTCTTCCTTTTAACTACTGAAAAAATGAGCAGTCAGTAGAAGCCCTTTATCGAATGGTACAAACTGACAGTTGCTATACTTATACTTGGCAGTTATTGACTACTGACAATTATATATTATATTGTATTGCGTGTATCACATATCCACGACCGCTTATCTACAATGAAATTCGCCTCCGAAATGTGTATATTCGACATATTGTGATGAGATGATGCTTTCTGAAGCGTTCGAGGAAATTTGTGAATATGACGCTCACTCGATGCCACTAATTGAATTTTCTCGAAGGTTGACTACACCGTGCCTGAAGTATGGAACGCTACCATGTAGTTGGCAAAGCAAACCGTTATCATTTGATATTGACTTTTCGACTCCATTTGACATCAGCGTTTCCATCTCAATCCTACCTCAAGCGAGCTCCGGTACCGCCTCCTTCGGTAACCAAGAGTAGAGCTCGATCGATGGATACGGAGCACGCCATTTTTTCGTTTAGTGTATTCGTCACGAGACACCATCGGGCCGACGGCCATTGAGTGTTTGTATGCGCTCACCTCTGCACTTGCGTGTATCTCTAAGCCCCAAGCGCTGTTCTTTTCTCAGCGCGTTAGATGATGCTAACTGCATGTTCATCTTTATTGCGGGGATTGCAAGTCTCAGAGGCAAAAATCAAGGCATGAAGGACGGCGGTCGAAATGTAGCCGGATCTTCTTTGCCTTCTTTACTATTCTCTCGGAGCTCTCGAATGCAGCTCCTTCTGCTCTGCTCCGGATCTGGTCATTCATCATAATGGTTTCTCGACCTAGATGAAGGTAGCTGTTGAAACAAAGATATTCGTCCTTTCACATAGTAGGTATCATGTACCAGTTTGTTTGTTATGAACATCGTCTTCTTAAGTTCAGTCGTAAGCCGATGTTCTACCACAGTTAACAAATTGGCAGGCATTCTTTTCGTCAGCTCGGTGTTCCTGCTTGTAAGGACGATGTTGTTAGCGGTGATGCAGGTAGCGGCCCTCAAACGTAACTCTCATGTCTTCTCATTCCGAGAATGCATGATGTTTCCCTGTGGCCTTGTAATGCTTGAGCGGATGGTATTGCCCTGCCAACCCCTCTTTTCACGCTGATAAGACTTACTTTAGAGTGGCGTGATCCCGGTCGCGAACTTGTTTTAGGGTCCACGTAGCGTCTTTTCATATTGAGAAGGAACACCCTAAATGGCCGAGGCTACAATAGCCATTCCAGTCTTAGTGGTATCAAAATTTGCTTCGAGTAGATGAGCGTGAAACATCACGGCTATTGTATTCCCGCAAGACATCAAAGAGCCTTGAAATGGCATAAAAATGATAGTTCGTACTGAACCCTCTACCAAACCCTGTTTCTCGCGTGGCTGCCCCTTATAACTCGTGTGGGAAGTTTATAGATTACAGAGAGGAACGCAAAGAGCCTAGCCAGGGTTCGCTCTGACGATGACTAATGGAAGGTTCTCTAGATGCTATGGTTCAATCCGACGCGCGCCGTGCAGCTTTTAATCGACGCAAGATCGAGTTTAGGAAGGGAGAACTGAGAGAACGACATATTCATTCTGCCTAAGATGATAAGCGAGTAGGTAGTCAGCGCTGTTGAAGAGATTGGCGTAGAATTGTTAGGTGACATTCTCCTTTGCCTTCCGACATGTAGTAGCTGCCGTCTGGGCGACCAGAGAAACTACTGGTTTTATAACTTTCCAAGGCCAGCCGCGCCCTGCAAATGCTCCTCCGGCCTCGAGGGCTCTCTTCGAGATCCTTCTTTACAACTCCCTTATATAGCTTCGCAAGTTCGTCCATTTGCTGTTAGTTGCCTGCAGGTCGCGTGAATCCACAGTGCTGGCGTATGAGCTCAAAAGTCTTCAAGGAAAGGCGTCTCCCGTTAACTCAAAGACTTATTTTCTAGCACTAGCGTGAAGGTATTCAACGAAGTGGATGTGTTCTCCTCTATGTTGTCAATAACGGAATCCTCCCAGAGACTCGCAAAGTGAGCGAAGTGATCCCAATTGATGAGTATCTTGAGGTTTTGTATTCTGAGCTTCGCAGTCCTTCGTCCTTACATTGGAAAGCAGGGCTTGGGGAGGGGGAGACGCGTAGCACGTCGGTTTAACAGCGACGTCAGTCAGGCAAACTTGTGGTGCCAGGTGGCTCCCAAATCCATCGCAAATGATGGCTTGTGGTACTGCGGATTACCACTGCTGGTGTGGATCGGCATAATAAACAGGTCTTTCACTGCTCATTCCAATCCATTCAATTCCGAGTCTCAAAGTGAAGCTCTTCAGCCTTTGGTCAAGAAGCAATCCTGTTGATTAAATCCACGACGATGATCTTGGAGGATCTGCGGTACTCCCCAAAAGAATCCAACACTTCCACCTCGTAACTCCATGTTGGTGCCTAGGCAAAGTAGATTGTTAGAGCTGGGGCTGAACCACATTCTCTCGATCGCAACACCTGATTCAGGTCGTCAGACTTCGGCACGAATGATTGTTAATGGCCATGTGCATTTTGACGATTTCGCCTACACCAGTGACCCTCTGCTGTCAAGTTTTGTTCCTCTCTGATCTCGAAAACAGCATGCAGCGGGCGATACCTTCTCGTCTCGGTTATTGGTATGACGGATACTAGATCTTTATAGCTTGCATCATCAGGTTTTCAATGCACGGTCCCGGTGCAAGCGTTAGTGCATTGGAAATGGGAACGTCCTATTCCATCGCCCACGAAGCTAGGTGACGTTGCGCGGGGCCCAGCCCACTGCTATCTCGAGGTGGTCACGTTAGAATCTTGTATAGGTTGTGCGATTTGCGTGCGGACATTTAACTTTTCTTCGGTGGTGCAGCGATTTTACACGTTTCCAGATGGGAATCTCCACCACATCGCCTTAGTGCTTAATTTTCCAGATCCTCCGTTTTCTCTACAAACAGATTTGTGGCAACCTTGGCATTTTAAATGGTAAGTAAGCTGACATAGTCTTCTTCTTAGGCTCCACACCTGTTGTCGTAAAGATGCAGTGACACGACCCTTCTTGTGAGGTCTCAGGAAGAACATTAGATCGTTTTATTTTCTGAAACATGAAGAGGCAGTTTTTCCTGATTTTTCTAAGCAAATATTTCCGTAGGCAACTTTGTTCTTCGAAGGTGAGTCTACTCTTTCAAATTTTTTGTTCCCCATTCTGTATCTAAATACATACAGAATGAGGAACAAGTAGATAAAGTGTAAGGACAGACAAAAAAGAGAATATATTAGAAAATACCTACATTGTCTCGTGATATATTCTTTTACTTCGCAAGGGCATTCTAAGCTGTATTCAAATACCTGCGTGCTGGAAAGAAATTTAGACTGGAACACTGCATTAAAACGCAATCTCGGGATGATGACGTGGTGCGCCACGCACTACTTGCAAACAGACAACGGTAGAGTCGAAGAGCACCCCGCTAAAAGTACAGATCGTCATCTTAGCCCCTCATATTTTGAGCAGCCTGTTTAGGCCCTGAAATTATGTACAGCAGCCTCTCCCTTTTTCTAACCCAACGGTGCCGTATTGGGGGTTCCCTCAGATTCAGGGGAATTATAGCATGCTCTGACGTAGGAGCTGACCAAACTGCGGGTATCTTTCCAAGCTATCCTATAATAAACATAGGGCTCAATTAATGGATGCAACCCCGAATCGCCTGTCAAACTTTCTAGTCACTTGAGTGCATGCCTTCGTCTGAGATGATATGCAAGATACCAATCGCACACGCAGACTCTCCATTATGTATGCATGAGTACACCTGCAAGGATACCGGCATCCTGAATATACTCAACACAGAAGAAACAGGAAGTTTTTTCCCGTTCAACAACCCGCTTCTCTGGGCAAAGACGAGCAACTTTTTTTTCGCGGTCCACTTCCCCTATCCAACAGCTTGGGCCGCCTCACCAACTAACTAGAGAACCTTTTATACACTTAAATGTAAATTTTCTCTTCTAGTACTCTCACGACGGTGTCCACAACATACGTGGCTTGTTCGAGCGCTGGAGGCAGCACACCTTTTTTTGAGAAAGTAAGTTGACCATCAATAATATGTTAAACTCCAAACCATATCCTATCGAACCATATTCACACAATCGTGCGTCATGCTATTGCACAGATTTCGTGTCTTGCTGCGTCACCCTTGGGGATCTTCCTCTGTACTGCGAATTCAACCCTCTTGCAATTATGGTCTCATGGCGACTGCCAGCTTCTCTTTGATGTCGCTTTTGATCACAGAAGAAGGTGAGAAATGTGCGACCTTTAGAGTTAGATAGTCCTGGCGGCTGAGTTTCATCTAGTAGTAAAGATATCATGAGTGGCAGGAATATATATACAGCTAGGATGCTGAACGCCGTTACGACTCCCAACAGAGGTTGAATGCATAGGTGCTCCCATATAAGACCGAAGATCTTGTCAGTCCTCCACATGCCATACCCATTGATGAACCTAAAAAATGATCAGACTAGATAAGCTCGTATATGCCATAGTCTCCTGCTACTGTCCCTACCAACATTTTCTATTTTTAGATCTTCTGGATCAGTGTCGGAAGACGGAAACTGCTTTTTTGTTTCAAGCTTAACTTACTTCGATGATATGGTTTGGACAGGAACTTCAGATGGATACGTTATACTATACTCCGTCGGTAGAAATGCGAAAAGAAATGCTCCAAAGTACAGTCTGAAAAAGTACGGTCCTTATCAGTCAGTTCGCTGTTTTATAGAATATCAAAACTTATGTACTCCCGAATTTTTTTTCATAGGCGCGAGCTGGAGGTAGAACTGGATTTGCAAGCTAAACCTCTTTCCAACTTTCAATGATTTCCGACTTACACATATGGCTAGAAAGGCGATTCTCATTCCGATTACCGAAAGAAGGCCTTTTCTTGAATTGTGTTCTTAGGGTTGCTCTCATATGCCGTGACAGATCAATGTCCAACTAGTTCCTGTGTCAGTTCATGCCTTGCAGATACCACCTTGACCTCGACTCCCACCGGAGTTCCGCGTACTATAACGCCCCTACCACTAGAGGCTCGTATGCTGTTCCGTTCTAGAACGGTTTAGGTTAATTTCAGGTATCCAACTGGATGCCGACTGTCACCTGAGGGAGCTTGCGGTGTAGTTAATCGATCTCAAATGTGCTACATTCCAACGGACGAAGAAGCCAGGGGAGAAGAAATAATGTCTTTAGCCGAAGGAGTTCGAAGACCAAGTCGTGTTTCAATAAGCATAGATGTTGGTACGCAGCAGTATATTGGTATGTGTATTCTCTAAGGATTTTTTTTCTGAGTTCTGATGTATTGTGCAAGAAAATCACGCATTGTGAAAGTCTCGTCATTATATTTTACTCGGAGACGTGGTATTAGTCCTCTCAAAGGCGCTATTCACAATAATTTTGTTGTATCGAGTTTTACACGTACAGCGAAGGTGATGGTTTGAACGAGCTGTCTAGCGGTGTGTGGCGTTGCACACATCTTTCTATAACCAGCTGCCTGGGTGCATCGTGTGCGTCCCAGTGGGAATGGTGCAACCTCTGAAGCTTTTACAACGCCGTGAAAACTTGTCGACTTCTGGAAGCGTGCAACCCCACAGCGTCCCTTTTGCTACTCTTGAGGTCACAGTTTCATCCTAGGGAAAATTCTCAAAAACATTTCTATCGCGAACGGTGCCTTTGAACGGGTTGAGGTGGACTACGGCAATTAATCAGCAACCTACCTGCATCAGTTTTGAAGGGAATGTCTTGATATGTGACGAATTTTCAGAGCGATTGCAACACAAAATTGAAGGATAACCTTTTGGCATCGAGCATATCCGCTTCGGGATGCATCACTAAATCTATCTTCATTCATAATCGTAGTGTCGTATTTACCTTACACAATGATTTGTGTGAAGCTTGATAAGTATAAGTAGTTTTGTTCTGATTCGACGACATGTGGTGAAAGCGTTATTAAGCCGTAGGCCAGTGATCCCTGTGATTGTTCGAAACCTTGAAAATTTTAATCTGAAGCACATATAAGGTTTAATTCAAGTTTTCTCCTTTTCGACACTTATTTCAAGCTTCTCAGTAATTTGTTACGCTTGAAACCATCTTGCCCCACCTCAGAAGGGAAGTGAATATAATATCATTCTGTCCTCTGTTTAATTCAAGTCACACTATAATGAGCAGAAACAAGCGCCTTCACAACTCGGAGGAGCAGAATTTAATTTTGAAGTCCTCCGTCCATCAAAGTTTTCGAGGGTACGTCGTTAGCTACGCTATATTTGTTGCCAAATGGTCCTTTGCTACTGAAAGTAGTCGGTGAGCTGTGGAGTAGTCAAAGTTTTCCAGTTGGATAAAAATCAGATCATCGCATTCTCTAGGATATACTGACCATTTAGATAGCCATTTTCTCCAATATGATTGGATTTTGTCATGCTTCAATTTCAATGATCGCCTTTCTAAATTGAAAGGTAGCAAGTGCGAGTTGACTCCTGTCCTTAGTGAATGATAGGTCTACACTTCAGAAATAGCACTTCTTTGACGCTTGCAAATTGTACGTTGAGTTCAAGAGCAAAAATTATGAAAGTGTCCAGAACTCGATACGCGGCGTGCTATTTCTTTTCTCGCGTGAGATTTCCGACGTTAAGGGTGATGCTAAGCGCTGACTTCTAAGCAACTTGATTTTCATACTGAATTCTCTGTGACCAACCAACATGTAAGAAGTAGTTACTTGACTAGAACCTTTTATGGGCTTCCCACATCGCCTCAAAGCGCAAGTAACTGGATTTTATTTTTTCACGAATGAAGTAAACCTCCGAAAACCTACACAGTTCGAATCCATTGTCAAAAAGCTACTTAGCTATATTGAAATCTATCCTTAAATAACTTTGGGTTGACAGGATCAACGCCGCTTTTCTATCCTTCCCATTCTCCCGGCCACCCAATTGACTCTCCGGCTCAGCTGGCCGAGATAGAGTATTGGTCGAACATGCTGCGTGGTGCGCCACCAACTAAATGGATTTCGTACTGCTAATTGAATGGATGCAGCATCTTAAACAAGCCCTTTCAATGAAGCAGATCACTCTACGGATCAAGATGTTTTTTTTCTACCGAGATTGAGTCATCACCTGTATCACCTTTCGTCCCGTTGATCATCGACTTCGTCGAGCGGGCGCCAGTAACGTCTCAGTTCGTCCCCGTCACGAGCTAGAGTGGTCCAGTGAATCGACCTGGTTTAAGGACACGAGGTTCGCCATTCCTTTCGTTCAGAGTTTTCGTGAAGAAGTCTGACCATCTCGTTGGCGGCCTTCCTGGAGTTCGTTTGATGTTCCGAGGGATCCAGTCAGTAACCGCCCTGGTCCAACGATCATCACTATATCGCATAACGTGTTCGGCCCACCTGATTTTCGATTTCTTGGCGTAATCAACGGCATCGGTGATCTTCAATCGTTGACGGAGCTCGGAACTCCAGATTTCCTTCTGCACTTGCGTGTATAGAGAAATTCCGAGAATCGTCCTTTCCAAAGCGCGTTGAGTAACGCTGACAGCATGCTCATCCTGCTTTCGTAGAGTCCAAGTCTCCGAGGCGTACGTCAAAGCAGGAAGAACAGCAGTGTCGAAAAGGTGAGCGCGGAGCCGGATGTTCTTTGTCTTCTTCACTACTCCCTCGATATTCCTAAATGCTCCCCACGCGGCGCGTTTCCTTCTGCACAGCTCTGGANTCGGAACTCCAGATTTCCTTCTGCACTTGCGTGTATAGAGAAATTCCGAGAATCGTCCTTTCCAAAGCGCGTTGAGTAACGCTGACAGCATGCTCATCCTGCTTTCGTAGAGTCCAAGTCTCCGAGGCGTACGTCAAAGCAGGAAGAACAGCAGTGTCGAAAAGGTGAGCGCGGAGCCGGATGTTCTTTGTCTTCTTCACTACTCCCTCGATATTCCTAAATGCTCCCCACGCGGCGCGTTTCCTTCTGCACAGCTCTGGAGCTAAGTCGTCCATCAGGTTGACTCCCGACCTAGATACACATAGCTAGAGCATTCGGAGATACTCGTTCCGTTTAACGTGAAAGGAGCATCAGGTACCAGTTCGTTTTCATGAACGTCGTCTTCGTTAGGTTCAGCCTCAAGCCGATCTTTCCACAGGCACTATCAAACTCGGCCAGCATTCGTTCCGCCTGCTCGATGTTCGGTGTTATAAGCACGATGCCGTTTGCAAAGCGGAGGTGAAGTAGGAAGCGGCCGTCGACCCTCACTCCCATGTCTTCCCATTCCAAATGACGCATGATATTTTCGAGAGCGGCACTGAAAAGTTTGGGCGAAATAGTATCGCCTTGCGGGACACCTCTCTTCACGTTGACAATGACTTCCTTGTAGAATGGTGAAATCCTGATCGTGAAGTTATCGCAGAGCTCACGAACCATTATTACATATCGAGTAGGAGCATCCTGGTTGCCCAGGGCTTCAATCACATCTTCTGTCTCAACGGTGTCGAAGACTTTCTTCAAATCGATGATCGAAAAACATAACGGCATTCTGTACTCTCGTGATACTTCAGTGAGTGTTGTAACGGTGTGGATGTGATCGATTGTACTGAATCCTCTCCGAAACTCCGCTTGCTCGCACAGCTGTGCTTCATCTAATATTCTGCCAATCCTGTCCAGGATGACACGAGTGAAAAGCTTGTAGATTACAGACAGCAGGCAGATTGGGCGATAATTGCCAATATCGTCTGGATCTCTCTTTTTGTACAGCAACATAGTCTTGCTAGTTTTCCACGACGTGGGCACTTTGCATTCCGACAGGTACCGTGTGAAGAGCCTAGCCAGAGTTTTGATTATGACTGGTGGCATACATCTTCAGATGTTCTGGTTTGATCCTATCGGGACCGGGCGCTGTGCAGTTCTTCATCGAACTGATGGCATGTCGCATTTCGGAAGGGAGAACCAAAGGAGCGATATATTCGTCTTGCCTAAGATGGTGAGCAGGCAGGAAGACGTGGCTGTCGAAGAGATCCGAGTAGGAGTCGTAAATGACCTTCTCCATTGCCCTCCGGGATGCAGTAACGGTTCCATCAGGACGGCGAAGGGAAGTCATCTTGGTCTTGCAATTGGCGAAGGTCCGTCGGGCTTTGCGAATGCTCTTTCCGGCCTCGGCGGCTTCGTCCATGACTGCTGCTCTTATCCCTTCCAGATCTTCCTTTATCGCTTCTTTGCATAGCTTCGCAAGTTCGGACGTTTGTTGATACTTGCGTGTAGCTCGCGCGATTCCACGCGGGCGTATCAGCTCGAGAGTCTTCGAAGAGAGTCGTCTCTTGGCTACTTGTAGACTCTCAGCTTTCGTAGCACTATCGTGAAGATGCTCGACGAGCCGGTTGTATTCTTCGTCGATGTTGTCGGTAACGGAATCCTTCCATTTACTCCCAAGGAGAGAGAAGTGGTTCCAGTTGATGGAGGTCCTGTGACTTCGTTTCCTAAACTTCATAGCTCTCTCTCCACGCACTGAGAAGCAGAATCTAGAGCGGAGGAGACAATGGTCCGATCCCGTGTAGAGCTTCGGAACAAGAGCGACGTCGGTCAGGCAAAATCTCCGATTGAAGTTGATGTGGTCTATTTCATTATGGAACTGTCCACCAGGTGACTCCCATGTCCATCTTGAAAGAGAGGGCTTCTGGAACTGCGAGTTACCATGGATGGTGTGGGTNAGCCTTTCACCCTGCTCATTCCATTCCACTCCAAGAGTCCCGATGTGAAGCTCTCCAGCCGTTCTTCTGGGGCTATTCTTGGCGTTAAAATCACCGACAATGACCTTGAAAAAAGTGTGGTCTTCTCTGTAGAGCCTCTCCAGATCCACATAAAACGCTTCCAACTCCTCTTCTTCGTAAGTCGATGTTGTTGCGTAAGCAACGAAGATGGTTAGAGCTGGGGTTGAGCCACATCTTCTTAATCGCTAACGTCCGATTCGGGTTGTTAAGCCTTCGTACGAATCGATGTTCATATCCAAGTGCGAGGACACCTACGCCGCCGACGCCTCTACTGTCCCATGTTCCAAGGGACAGTTCTTCTCCAGTCTCAAATACAGCGTGCAGCGCGCGATGCCTTCTCGTCTCGGCCAGTCCGATGACGTCGTACTTGATCTTCCTAGCTAGCATCATCAGGTCTTCTATACATGCTTCCGATGCAAGCGTCCGTGCGTTGAAAGCACAGACCGCCATCCTAGTCCTTCTCCTTTTGAGCAGCCTGTTTCGGCCCTGAGATTTTAGCAGCCTCTCCCGAGCAGTCCTACCCAACGCTGCCGTATTGAGGGCTCCCTCAGGCTCAGGGGAATGAGGCCCATTTCTATTACTGTTTTTGGCGTGCAGATATCCAACGTGCAGCTTGCCAGGCTCTGATGTGGGGCAATTGACTCCGGGGGCTTGCCAGGCTATCCCGAAGTGGGCAAGGGGCTTTGTTTTTGGAGGCGGCCCCGAATTGCCTCCCAGATACTTCCCAGTCACTCGAATGTAAGCTTTAGGGCGAGTCGATGGGCAGAATACCAACTGCACCCACAGACTCGGCACACACGTATGCGTGGATCGCCTGCTAGGAACAGAGGGCATATCGACTCAGCACAGCAGAATCAAGGGGTCCATCTCCTGAATCCACCTGCGTCTCTGGGCAAGTACCGGTGACTTTTGGTCGGCGATTAATTTCCCTGTCCGCTACCTGGGGACGCCCTACGTAACCTCGTCACTAACCGGCTGGGGATCCTTCAGTGAGAGAGAACCCTCAGTGAAGGAGATCCGTAGAGTCATACTTTCGAAATTCATTTTATTAAATGACGGTCTTACTTCTAATTCGAATCTGTATTGCCTCCACCTTACATGTGTCTGCGAATCGAACGATAAGTTGTTCTCTCCGAAGAAGCTGTCTTCCAGGTATTGCTCCATGCCCTCTGCGCCTCTTACAGTAACTATCAAGGGAGTTTTTTCGCATGTCCACAATAGCCCACCTATCAATGATGCGTCAGTCATGGAAGTTTTACAAACTACACATTGAAATGCAGCCGCTATCCTCGATCATTGATGAGTTGAAAAACAACGAAAATATTGAACAATACACGAATTGCCGCTACATTGCGAGCCCGAGAACATTCACAAACACTTCAGATAGCTTGCCTTGATGTGGCGAAATGACAGTGCATTCACACATTTCTATTTGTAAATGTCATAGATAAACATTTTTAAATTTCCAGGCATTATATAAGTGCACCGAATTCGTAAAATTGTCAAGCGAGTATATAGGACAGGTCAAAAGCAGGAGCAATGTTCTGTCCACAGTATTACATGCACTAAGTAAAAAAAGACTAAAAGTATAAATATGCCTGTATTTTCACATGCTGGACTTATCATGCATCAGCCAGTTTATTTGGAAGAGACGGCGTATCAATCATTGAAAGGTGTCGTATATAGGTGCTGCAACATTCAATTGGAAGTACAAATTCCTGATGAGCTTGGTTGAAGGCGCCCATCACAGCATGTTCAATCAATACTTTATTTCGGCTAGCTGAGCCGCAGAGCCATTTGGGTGGCCGAGAGATTGGGAAATGTAGAAAAGCGTTACCGAAGGTATAAATTCAAAATGAAAGTTGTGGATCGATTTTAATATCACCAAGCAGCTTTCTAAAAATGGATCAGAACTAAGGAAGTTTTCGGAGATTTACTTCATTAGAAAGTAATAAAATTCAGTTACCTCCGCTGGGGTAATGCCGAGCCCATATAATGCCTAAATTTCTAGATAATTAAGTATTCCCTACAATTAGGGATTGTTTATAAAGAGTTCAGTATGAATGCTTTTGAATCAGTGCTTAACTTCTCCCTGAACATAGGGAGTCCTCTTTCTGAACACAAAATAAGAAAGGTACCGGGCTTTGATTTAATAGCTTTTTTTTGCACTCAGGCAAACAATTTGCAAACTTCAAAAAAAAGCGATTTTTAAGGTGTAGGCCTATCATTCACTGAAGGCAGGGATATCTCGCACTTGCGACCCTTCAACTTAAAAAGCCATTGCCATGAATTGGCGCAAGACCAAATGCAACCATTTTAGAGGAAGTTGTTATAGAAATGATCAGTAACCTAAAGGAAGCGATGATCTGATTTTCATCTAACTGGAGAATTTCAGACTCCACAGTTCATTGACTACTTTTAATGGAAGCGAGTTTCTTCTAATTACAATAATTATAGCGAGCTTCGTTGCAAATGGCGTGCCCTCAACTTTTTGAGAAAAAAAATTTTCACAACTTTGTTCGAGAAGCTGATTTGAACCTTGAACATACCATATGAAAAAAGAAAATCAACGCAGTTATAAAGAAAACGCGAAAAAAAGCGAAGTCGTGATTTTATGTTTGAATTGTTTTCGTGTTTTTTAGAAGACAATGAGGGTATTGTACGTAGTGTACGGTACCGATGTACTTTGTGGGCATGTGTGTAAATGTGATCAGAAAAATGAAAATTACATTGGTTCTCGTTTTTATACACATTTTAGTTTGACTCCAATTTTCCTGTTTATGATTTGAAATCGTGACAGAAAAGATCTAATGAACTTTTAGAAACACTTCACTCTACGTATTATTTCAAATAACGCGATCACTGAAAATTTTTTTGGTGCTAGCGTTATGGGTCCTAATACACAGTAGTTTAGATGACCCGCGATCGCGAAAATCATTCCGAAGGTATTTTTTCGAGTATGCAAGTTCCTTATGAATTATGAGTTCCACTTGATTTTTTATATTTCAAATGGATAGAGTCGAAGCTCATCAAACACCCTCTTACGTTACGTCAGATTTATAAAGATTTTGGAATTTAATGCAATCACATCAGATTGTTCTGTCACACAGAAGTCAGGGAATTTTCAGTTTGCCGCAAATCGTTAGAACGCAAGGAAGAAGGCAGTCATGAGTGCGACGGGTTGGATATTTGTAGCGGCCACGATGGATGTCTGAAAAGAAGGAAAGACGCATTAATAGGGAAGATTCCGGAAAGGCCACCCTTGAGTCTGCAGCGTTTTTCCAGGTTAGACATCCCACTAATTTGACAACCAGTCAAATCACTCACCGACCTGCTCCAAGTTCTTCTTTTTGCGAGGTAGAAAAGCCATTATGATGTCTGCCATCCATCCTTTCCGCCGAGAAAACAATAAAGAGTAGTCGTCCGTCCACAACCCAAGTCGATATTGATCGGTATAAACTGATCGATATCGACCCATGCCTTTTTTGTGGTGATGTTTCCGTCATGTCTCTTCTATTCCTTACAGGTTTGAACGCTTCGCTTCCAGAGGGGGGCGGGAGTTATACACTTTGTGGCAATATGCAGGCATTCATACGTATATCCAGACAAACATACAGTCCAAGCCGATTACACTATGATATAAATTTCAGCATCAGTGGCTGTTGAATCCCATGTAAGTACTCATTTACCATCCGTACCCTTTCAGTATCGAAATTGAGATCAAAGGTCGGCCCGCTTTAGTCAGTCATGGCTTACTGTAGAATCCAAAACAGTATTAGTTGTGTGATTTCATGTCTCAGTCGAGACTATTGACCATTCTGATGAGTAAGAATCTCTCTGAATCCTGTGTCGTCTCAGTGGGGTCCCGACAAATGAAAACATGAGGGATACATCGCGCATCCAGCACTGGCAACTTTCTTCAACTTGAGGATTGTTTTTCTCCATTTTATTTCGAATAACCCCATAACTTTATATTTCAGCTGTTCGTCGAGAGATCACTGTGCACCTAGTTACGATCATAATGCTTTCAGTATTAATTCTGACACTTCTGCTTTCACGATAGGTTCGGTGTCTTCCCTGATGTAAGTTTCTCTCTACAGCTAACTTTTCTAGAATCTACGGGATCGAGGAAAAAGTTAAGCAGACGAATCAGAGAGACGAAGAGGATAAATCCAGCAAGGTGCTGTATCCATTTATTAATTATTACCACTGTAAACGCGCGACCCATGGAAATGCGTCGTTTTGTTTAGGTCGCCAATAGCGTCCAGCAGTAATGTATCCATGGAATATGACGACTTATTTGAAATGTATTCCGATGAAGGTTGACTATTTTCACCGTACTGCTTCCATATACATACGTCTGATCTATCGCTATACCTATTTCCATATACATACGTCTAATCTATCGTCGTACCTGCTTCCAGATTATAATCAAGTTTACGTGCAGAATCCGATCACTGCTATCTCAACAACAACTAAGTTAGGCATGTGTCTTTTGAGAGAATATATAATTCTTCTATCACCTAAAAATGTGTAGCTGTCCGCTCATAATTTAGGGAGTGAATGCAGTTGCTCCTGTGTCAATCCTCTTCGACGTAAAGACCTCGAATTTGATGATCCCGTTGTGTTGGCAATTCCAGGTACAACAGTTTTTAGGCTTTCAATGCTTCGTCAGATCATTTTCTTTTTTTTCCCCAGAGACACTAAGCACGCTTTGCGCATTATATGTTGGTAGCGGAGCATGGCGCGAGAGGGCCCTCATTGGTGGTTATCAGTTTGCTCGACAAATGCTGAGCAACGGGGGGAGGCGCTGTGAAGGGTTCCTCTACCGTTTTGCGTTGCCAACCGAATTCTCGCTCAACAAGAAGAAATTTTCGTTCGATAAAGGATGACATACTATTCCAAATATCCATGCGGAAGAATTTCTCATTCTGTTCATTACGGCTGCAGCACAAAGCACATTCAATGAACATGATTCCAACTTTATGCTTACTTCACCTTATGTCATTTTACTAATTTTATCAATACTGTAGAATCACTGAAGGAAAAACATAAAATAGCATCGCCATCGTCTGATCGGAATGACTCGATTCTGCATGAAGAATTCCAAGAAGTGTGAGTAGAACATATACAAATGTTGCAGTGGTACTGTCTATACACTAAATTAGGTTTATTAGCATTTGGACATTAATGCGTGTCCTGAAAACTCTAATTTACAGAAATTCGAGCTTCGGGCTCACTGTTGTTATGAAACTGAAGATTGCTGATAAGCCTGTTAAGAAAATGGCAACCACAAGGTATACAGATTGATGGGTGATGAACGCTTTTCGAAGTGACACTTTTACAGGATTGGAGATGACGACATGCTGTTGACTTGTGCAGGAAGTTTTTCGGAGGAGGAGTCTCTATTGCTGTGGCGAAAAGAGCCAATATCAGTAGGCATCTAGTGAAACTTTATCAGGGTTTTCGATTGACTATGTAGTGACTGAACCGATTTTTGGGCAGTATTGTAGTTGTAATGATATTTGAGGGCCTTTGGATAAACGACCCGATTCCACCTTTGCCTGTGCGCGATCAAACGTAATGGATAATGGCTGCACAGATCCTCCACGATCAAATAAATATTATTATGTGGGAAGGAAAGTCCTGCGACACAATGAAGGTCTTCTACAAATCATTTCTGAAATTTTTCCGGCCAATCAATTTTCGGAAATATATTTACCAAAGAGGTCAACAACCTTCTATTATCCTTTGAGTAAATCACTGATGCCTTTTATCCAGGAGTGAGGAAGCTGTCACTCAAAGAAGTAATTGACTGCCGTTTTCAGATCACATTAAGTTGCGAATTTTTTTTCAACAACGCGATGCTCAAGAAGACGGAGCGCATGGTAGATGAAAGGGGCAGCACTTGGGGAGTACGACTGATGAACAACCTGGAACCAATTGCAATCGTAGAACTTTGACGCGTGTTCAAAGCGAAATTTCGACGTGCGTTGACCCTCTGTAAGGACCTGATTTACGGTTTTGATCGTCCTTCTTTAATCCCGCTGGCCAAATTTCGGAGTTTATAGAGGTAACCGATAGCTGTGTCCATCTAGTCCGCGTTTAGCAATTCATAGTGGATGGATCCCTTCAACTTCCTTCAAACTAAGGGACGATGCTTGCGTGACTTCGAAGGCTAGTATCTCCTCCAGCGAAGCGATCCAACCGATCGTTGACCCTCGATCGGTGAGCAAAGCCAACATTGAATAGGTTCCTGATAATTTGAGCCGCAACACCCGCGTTTTTCCCTTGGCGTGCTTAATAGAAGGTAATGGTACGAATCGGGTGTTGTCCATTTTTTGACCATAGTGCTGCTAAAGCCCACACGCGTGCCCCTATTTACTCATGTGTTGATTACCTGAGGAATGTCCTACAAGTTTATCACTCTTGCTACCGTGTTCACACCGTTGATACAAATTGTTGACACTTCGTTTTTTTTTGTCGCAGGACTTTTCTTCCAACCTAATACTTATGAAGTAGTATTTGGGTCTATTGATGATGTGTTTTTTAGTAAAAAAAATACCTTTTTAATTGCTTTTTCTTGTCTAGACCTCTTGTCATATATTGCATGATCTATATAAGTATTAGTGTTTTCCACAATCTTGATATCACAGTTGCTCTTCACATAGATTCATATGCCGATGCAAACTACAATATTGAAGTATGAATAGCTGTGCCTAGTCGAACGATTAACTACTTCTGATGACATATAGCGTTGACGCCTTGATTGCTGATTTTTGATTTTAATCTGTTCCAAATGAAGCCTGTGTACGGTATACTGATGGTTTCACAGCTACTTTCGTATTTTCCGAAAAAAAAAACGATTAGCTGTATCTAAGCTGCCGTGGTCTATGTCACACTTTACCATTCGCTGCTTGCCTTCTGCTATTTTTTTGACCGGCGTTTTTTCAAGAGGGGAGGGGGAGCTTGGAACACTAGGGGATGGAGTATTACCCCATTCTGGAAGGACGCGGTGTATCGTGCGGCGAAATTTGCGACGATTCGAACGACTTTGACGCTTATCATTAGGGCACAAACTTGAACTAAATAGGTAAGTAGGGTCAGCTGTTACTACTAATCTACTCTACTTGAAGTTTGTGCCCCAATGGTAAGCGCCAGAGTCGTTCAAATCGCCACGAATTTCAAATTCGTGGCGATTTGAACGACTTCGTTCATCCAAAATTCGGTGAATGCACCAATAACCAGAGCGCTAAAGTGCTCAATCGTCAAACGTAGGGAGGAAACATGCGACTCAAAAAGGGCACCGCATTTCCACGAAAACCAACGGTTCCTGATCCTTGCTGTCAAAGATTCCTTCACCCTTCTGGCTCTTCGTCCCAGACCAGCTCCGTCGTATAGCTCTGCCTCAGCAGTTGGAGAATTCGGGTGGTATATCATCATTTCTGACCCCTGACTTTCCTCAAAGTCGTGAGTCCTAGGTTAGCACGTAGATTTTAGTGATCTGCTCGAGTGAACTTGGTAAACACTATAGTTGAAGAACGATTACTCAAAATATAACACAATTAAGCAGTCATTTGATAGTTTATAGAGAATCAGATATAAAAAGATGGCTGAAGAAATACTTCAACAGGTGAACGAAGAAGGCTGACGGTGGAAAAAAATGAGTTCCTTATAAGTTTCAATTGATCCCAAAGAAGTTCACCGCTCTCATTCCAGCCAGTCGAGCCATTTTTAGTTTGTTATCCTGATGTTACTCTACCCTTTTAGGTCGTGACTTTTCAGAATCTCACTTCTATCTTACTGAATGTGACTTTTGATTACCTTCATATCGAATTAGTCCTCAGTCGAATTACTACTCAGGCTGCCTTTTTTCTCTGCACTTCTGACCTCTCCTTAGCTTTTCGAATATTGGCAAATTCGAGTTTTTATGATCACATGTTATACCCCAAGACACTTCCCGCTATTGCCATAGTTTGAAATCTAGCTTTTTCTCAGAACACTGTGACATCAACACTCCAAGCTCAGGGTCGGAGCATCTATAACTACCCTCGGCAACGGTCCGCATTTGAGTAAAAACGGCTACGCACCTTTCCGTGTCCTTGCTTGAAGAAGTTTTTTTATGCGTCATGTAAGGGACGGGCTATGCCTGAGTGGTAGGGAGGCCCTCCGATGTGCTGTAGGTACGATGCAATTGCACACACTGCTACTGCTATTAGTTAGGAATAATTGCGTCCAAGTTATCGTGAATTCTCGCTATTCCGACAATTGTTCTGTGTCCGGACATTTGGCTATACGTTGGCGGAACCGTTTCGACTAACTCGTCGTCTTCAAGAACCTGAAAGTAATTCGGAGCCCTTGGTCTGTGGCTTACCTGACCAAGCACCCAAACGCACTAGGCTAGTTGCAACTATTCCCAGAAACTTAAACGCCGAAACACTTCTGCCAAGAAACCAACCTTCTGCGGTTCCACCAGCGTTGTCGTCCCACTCTATTTTGTGAACAACATGGGAACAATGAGACACCATTGACGGTCGTGAGATAAGAACTGCGCGGTGATCTCACAGCCCGTAAAAGGGAGTGAATGGCAGAAGTTCACTCGTTATGGTAATGCACTCGTTTCGGTTGTTCAGCTTAGGATTCTGCTCGCGGATGTCTGACGGTACATTTATCAAGACAACACCATTAGTCAAATCCACTCTTGCGATGCGCTGCCGTATTTCTGCGCTAAACGGAAGTCGGAGATGCACCACATTCTTATGGTTTCTCAGCAAGTACCCTTTTGAGCCTGATTTTCTCTGCTTTGTCCCGTAGCCATTCAGGTTTGCAATCCCAGATGCTAGCTTACGTGACACCTCCCACTCCACTTCATGGGAAGCGTTGTCTGAATCGCGAGAATTCGCGATAACCTGATCGCAATTATTCCTACCTAATAGCAGTACCAGTGTGTGCAATTGCATCGTACCTACAGCACATCTGAGAGCCTCCCTACCTCTCAGGCATAGCCCGTCCCTTACATAACGCATAAAACAAACTTCTTCGAGCAAGGGCACGGAAAGGTGCGTAGTCGTTTTTACTCAGATGCGGACCGCTTCCAAGGGTAGTTATAGGTGCTCCGACGACCCTGAGCTTTGAATGTTGATGTCACAGCGTTCTGGGATAAAGCTAGATTTCGAACTATAACAATATCGGAAAGTGTCTTGGGGTAAACATTTGACTATGAAAAACTCGAGTTTGCCAATATTCGAAAAGCAAAGGAAAGATGTAAAAGTGCAAAGAAAAAAGGCAGCCTGAGTAGTAATTCGACTGGGGACTAATTCGATATGAAGGTAATCAAATGTCACATTCAGTAAGATAGAAGTGAGATTCTGAAAAGTCACGACCTAAATGGGTAGAGTAACATCAGGATAACAAACTAAAAATGGCTCGACTGGCTGGAATGCGAGCGGTGACCCTCTTCGGGATCAATTGAAACTTATAAAGAATCCATTTTTTCCACCTTCAGCCTTCTTCGTTCACCTGTTGAGGTATTTCTTCAGCCACCTTTTTATATCTGATTCTCTATAAACTATCAAATGACTGCTCAAAGGCACAGTTCGCGATAATTCAATGGCCCATTGAATTATCGCGAACTGTGCCTTTAATTGTGTTATAATTTTGTGTAATCGTTTTTCAACTAGAGTGTTCACCAAGTTCACTAGAGCAGATCACTAAAATCTACGTGCTGAGCTAGGGCTCACGATTTTGGGAACGGTCAGGGGTCGGAAATGATGATATACTACCCGAATTTTCCAACTGTTGAGGCAGAGCTATACGACGGAGCTGGTCTGGGATGAAGAGCCAGAAGGGTGGAGGAATCTTTAACAGCAGGGATCAGGAACCGATGGTTACTCGTGGAATGCCTTATGTGAGGAGGTGCCACGAAAACATTCGACCGTTAAAGGGAACCTCTAAATATTGAATCAACCAGGAAATGGCTGAATATTATTTTATCATCATGTTCCGCTGTCGGGTTTGTTCTTGCCATACAATACTGCTCCTAATTTTTGTTCAACCGACGGTTTGCGACGGATTAATCCGTCGCAAACCGTCGGTTGAACAAAAATTAGGGGCAGTATTGCAGTGTAACCCAGACTGGTTGAAGACAGTTTTTATTCTTAACTCTCTATGCAGGAATTTCTTCGCCAATTAATTTCATTCGTCAAAGATATTCATGCAAAGATCATGTCTGACCAGCTTCAATTTTACTGTTGACAGATATTCATAATTTGCAGATGACGAATTACGCAAAAGTTGGTGCATTTTTATGACACACTCTCTAGAAGCGAATTTTATTAAATTTTACCAAGTCTTTACGACCCTTTTCAACTCCACATATCTCCTCTCCTCTTTTATCTCCTCCTCTTTTTTACCAGAGGCTATTGAACTACGAACCACTCCATCCACCCCTTTGTAGGCTTCTCACAACTTCAAAAATTTTTAACATCGCCGAAGAGCTGATTAGACTATCCAATGGACCTCTGCCTGCATGAACTTGAGCTTGCAGTACTCTAATACTTGTTCAAAGTGCATTCTTTCTGGACG